TCCCGCTCCAGGCTTTCCAGCCCCTCGCCATGCCGCTGCCAGAGTCCTGCTCCAGGCTTTCCAGCCCCTCGCCATGCCTCCACCAGAGTCCTGCTCCAGGCTGCCTCACCGGCCCGATCTCGCTGTCCCACTCTTGATCCGCTGCCGTGGCTGCAGGACACAAACCGCGCATTCAGATCCCACCACGTGGTTCCTGGTCGCGACCCAGCTCCTTCCCTACCCCTTAGGTAGTTAAAAGGGTTGGGTGGGGAATAGAATTAATACAGATGGATAGAGAAGAACGGAGGAAAAAAGAAAGGACAAAGAAAGAGAACTGGCGAGCAGGGGAGAGCTCTGAATGAAGCTACTCACCCTGCCGCCAACTTGCTGGAGGTGTTGACAACACATTAAGCATTGCACTCGTCAATCCACCTTATAGGAGCAGGAAAGCAGCCTTCAAGTTACTGGTTCTATTTTGTGTGCGCACTTGATATAATTTCATATCCTTAAGCTACAATGGTGTGAGGCTGTGCTGGCTATTTGGGACGCCTCGGGTACATTCATTGGCGTCGATCCTTCTTGTTGGTTTTCGTCCAAGTTGCTGAGCCCCTGTGTGCCCCCAGCAAGTCTTCAACAGAAGGTGGCTCAATCTTGATAAACTGCAAGAGATTGTTACAAATTACTTATCAGCTAGTTGCATTACATCAGAGTACACGAGGTTCACCTAACCAGTAAGTGCCCATGCAAATTGCTGCTGAAACACTCTGGCACACAAAAACGAGACTACACCAGACACTGGAACACGTACCAACAAGATTGGGTTGCTCCATCCAGGAACATTCTTTATGTCCTGACGGGCAGAGCTTACCTTGTGATGCCAGGTAACCCTTTCAGATATTAACTGCCTATATGATATCTGTTTCTGCTCCTGGGCCTAGTGAGCATGCAACAATCAAACTCATAGCCTCAGATTAAAATACAATAATGAGTAAGGATTGCACTTTGAGTGTATCTTAGATTATGATCTGAAGTTGGGGAAAGGGTGGAAATGCACAAAGTTTTGCTTCAAACTGAATTAAATTTGTGCATAGTTTAGCAATTTTATATTAGTGCAAACAATTTTAGAATGTATACTCACAATTTCCAAACCAGGAGTTAAAATGCACCACTGCCTCATTGATTTGTATAACCATTCTAATTACCACGGTTATAATCTCATGCTGAATGTGATACAAAAACAATGAGAAAATAAATAAACCACTCATTTCAAGTCATTGGTTATTCCTCACTAACAATTTCTTTTCTGCTTGTTGACAGCCCAATATTACCTATATCAGACTATCGCAAAACACCTATCAACCAGACTCCTGGTACATACCACTCGTCATCACTTTGGGTTGTTTATTACTGCTTGGAATGCTAGGATACTTAGCAGATATTTACATGAATTACATCCGCTCTATACCAAAATCAAAACTCGAGAAAAAGCCATTGTAAGTTTTCATCATTGTGCTCATCGAAACACTTCATTCCAGTCAAACCAAGTTTTCATTACTTATTATTTAGTGATCTGTTTCTGATTCAATTTCGGACAACTGTTTACTTACGTTACTGTGGGTTTAATACAAATGAGGTTGTTTATGTGAAATTATTTTGCATGTTAATGTACTGCTTTTGGTGGCCATTGAACAGAACCCTTCCTCTAAACTTCCAAATTGTAGAAGGTTAAAATTGAGCCGTTTACACGAACCTGTCTTAATCACACAGCCTTAATAAAACAAAGCACTGCAGCCGCTGGAAACCTGAAACAAAAACAGAAATTGCCGGAGAAACTCAGCAGGTTTGGCAGCATCTGTGCAGACAAAGCAGAGTTAATATTTTGGGTCCAGTGAACCTTGTTCAGAACTAATAGTAGCTGGGAAAAGGTGGTATTTATGCTGAAGACAGAGGATGGGTGTGGGGCTAAATGAGTAAGCCATAGGTGGAGATGGAGCCTGAGTGTGAAAAAGACAGTTAAGCAGACAAAGGGATGAGCAGTGGTGACCACAGAAAAAGAAGGGCTGCTAATGGGGACTGTAAGTAGGTGAAAACCGGAATAGCAGTGCTGAATGCAGCATGCCTTGGGATGTGGGGATAGGTAAAGGATATGTAAGAAGGTGTTCAGGCCCTAAAATGATTCAACTCAATACTGAGTCCTGAAGGCTGCAGTGTCCCCAAGCACAAAATGTGGTGCTGTTCTTACAGCTTGCGCTGAGCTTCACTGGAACACTGCAGCAAGCCTGAGACAGAGATGATGGCCAGGGAACAAGGTGTTGTGTTGAAGTGGCAGGCAACAGGAAGCTCAGGGTCATTTTTGCAGTCGGAACATAGGTGTTCCGCAAAACGGGTCACCCAGTCTGAGTTACTGATGTAGAGGAGACCAAATTGCAAGCAGCGAATACAGTAGACTTAGCAGCATCATAGGAGCAGAGAGGCTGACGTTTCGGGCCTAGACCCTTCATCAGAAAAGGGGGAGGGGAAGGGGGTTTTGAAATAAATAGGGAGAGAGTGGGAGGCGGATAGAAGAGGGATAGAGGAGAGGATAGGTGGAGAGGAAACAAACAGGTCGAAGAGGCGGGGATGGAGCCAGGAAAGGTGAGTGTAGGTAGGGAGTTAGGAAGGGGATAGGTCAGTCCAGGGAGGACGGACAGGTCAAGGGGGCGGGATGAGGTTGGTCGGTAGGAGATGGAGGTGCGGCTTGAGGTGGGAGGAGGGGATAGGTGGGAGGAAGAACAGGTTAGGGAGGCGGGGACGAGCTGGACTGGTTTTGGGATGCGGTAGGGGGAGGGGAGATTTTGAAGCTTGTGAAATCCACATTGATACCATTGGGCTGCAGGGTTCCCAAGCGGAATATGAGTTGCTGTTCCTGCAACCTTCGGGTGGCATCGTTGTGGCACTGCAGGAGGCCCAGGATGGACATGTCGTCTGAGGAATGGGAGGGGGAGTTGAAATGGTTCGCGACCGGGAGGTGCAGTTGTTTGTT